GTACTCATGCTACTGTTGTGGTGTACTCATGCTACACTTGATGCACATTTTTGTGTAGATCCAAGTACTTAGGAGCGTGCAGGTCATTAGTTAGCTGATTGTGACTTGCGGTGGAGACTTCAAGGCATACATGCCTTCGCGTTCGCAGGCCTCTGAGTCACCTTCTGAAGTTTACTTTGTACTATTTATTTTTATTACGGAACAGTAGTATTTAGAGATTCTCTAGTGAACTCAGTAAAGCTTATGACTTGTACTACCTGTTTTGGGAGGTTGTATATTAGGGGTGCTTATCGGGCGGATCTGGAGGATAATTATGCTTAACGGTTATCGGATTATAAATGTAGTAATCCGCTAGCCATCTAATAAGACAACGGGCGGATTGGTATCAGGTTAACCATTATCGGGCGGCTTATCGGCTAAACCAAATAGAATTTTTTGAACAATCTTTCAATCAATACCAAACAGTTTCAAATCGATACCAAATTTTTAATACTATCTAAGATCTTAGCAAACGATATTTTTGAATTTAAGAGTCTTCAAGATTACTCATACTGTTATACATGTATTAACCAAATTTTTAATACCATCAAGACTACTCATACAGACATAATATTAATCATTCAGATTTCGATTTTTCGACTTCTTAGTTCTTAGTTCAAGAGAGAGACGAGACTGACGACTTTTCTGCCTCCGGTGGCTGCAGTCAATAATCAGAAAATAGAGATTAGGGATTTAACTATTTAGGGTTTCTATAGTACTTTATATACATAGGGGTAAAAGCATAAATTTAAAAATTCTTAACGGGTTAACGGTTTACCCGATAAGAAAATTGAGTGATCCGCCCCTAAACCGTTAAGCCGTTAATTATAAAATCTCAATCCGGTCACCATCCATTACCTCGATAATCTGATACCAATAAGCCAATAAGTCATCGGTTTGGTTCGGTTAACGGTTTCGGTTCGGTTTTGAACAACCCTATTATATATCTACTTTGGATTGTTGGCTTTATATAGAAATTTCTGGTTCATGTTTAATCGTTGATTGGTTAAAATTTATTATTAATTCAGTAAGTGTTAGGCTTACCTAGTTTGAGAGACTATGTCTCATCACGACTCCTAATGAAGGATTTTGGGTTGTGAGAACTATGTAGGTCAGTAAATTTTATTTTTATATGTATATATTACTANTGTTAGGCTTACCTAGTTTTAGATACTATGTGTCATCACGACTCCTAATAAGGGATTTTGGGTCGTGACAACTGTGTAGGTCGGTAAATTTTATTTTTATATGTATATATTACTATATATTGACTCCACTTGATTTCTTCGTATATTTACTTTTTATATTTTGACACCTCTTGGTGAAAATTCTAGCTCCACCATTATTTGCAATTATGCAAAGTTGAATCAGAAATCTTTCAGTAAAATTGGGAGTTGATATTACTAGCTAAATGTGTGGGATGCGCATGTACTTGATATTGTAGGTGATGTGGAGCAGGAGTGGAGTTTTTCAGCAACAAGGAAGCCAAATACTGAAATGGAAATCAAACGAAGGGCAATTGTGAGTGGTTAATGGAAGCCTATCGGTTTAGACAAGCAAATTACATGTCCAAAAGGAAGCCATTCTTGGGATGAAAGACTCTGATTTTATACAAAGGCCGAAAACGTCCTCATGCCTTTAAAACTGATTTGATCATGCATGAATACCATCTTGTTCTTCCCATAAATCCGCTCTTTATTTTCATCATTTCGAGAAATTTCATCATGTAATATTCTTGATTAAAATGGTGATATATACGTTGTAAGTTTTTGAGTTCATAGGATGAATTTCTAGATATAATGTATATTTAATTCTACCTATATATATATACACGCAACTCACACTCACTCATGAGCTCGTCGTTGAATCTGCTATGGTTGATATATGGCATATTTTAAATTATTATTTGCATTTTCTTCTGTGGCTGCAGAATTCCTTAGTTTAGATTGGCAACTGGGTTCATTGTCATATATCCTTGAGGAAGAGAAATGGACAGAGCTATGAAAAAAATCTTAGGAATGGGTATTGAATATTACAAAGCTCAGCATGTTGAAATAGTAGCGGAGCCGATATTGTCTTCTATGATTTTATGATGAGAGACTTAAGTGATGATGGAACTTCTTCCTCATGCTTTTCTAATTCTGTGAGCTCTGATTTAAGTGTCCTCACCGAGGTCTCTTCTAGTTCAAGAGTAGTAGGGCATGACGAAGCTAGTAACCAACTTCTACGATAATTTCATTAAAGTTTAAGTTATGTACACTGTTAGCATAAAATATTTTTCATATTATTAGGTCACTAAAAGAATATTTTATAGGTCCTCTATAAAAAAATTAGATTTGTAATCTTAAAAAAATGCAGATTACATGTTACATTATAATAGGTGATCTAGTACATACATACACATACATACATATATATATATANTGGAACGAAGACAGAAGACATTTGAATCTAAAGGCGATGATCCCATCTGTTACCAGAGAGTAATATTTACAGAGATGAAATAAATGTCTGCCACCCGGTAGCACTAAATTAGAAATATTCTATAGCATTAAGTACACAATCTGTTACAAGGAATATAACATTCATTGCCTTCCGTTATATGTTCTTCAATGGACTCATAATTGATATTAATGAGAGGCTTGATGCTAAGATCTTGTTCCCTAGGTGAAACTATAAATAGTGAGTTCTATTATCATTGTAAAGGACACAAATTTTCTGAAAAACATACGCTACATTCTATTCAAAGCTTAATACAATTTTATCTTTTTGTTCTTTGATGTCATTGTGTTGTGCCCGGAAGCCTTGCTCCAGGAATTACTATTTCTGCTATTTTATCTCAATCGCAAGGTTAAGTATTATATTTTTGTCTAATTCATCCATTATTTCAGGATCAAATTAATTTACTTGTCTATAAACCACATATAAATTCAACTGTACCCTTTTACGGGTTCACAATTTGGTGCCCACTGTGGGGCTTAGACATTTGTGTAATTAAGTTGGTCCTTGCCTATTTTACTAACGTGTTTGTTTATGTGTTCTTAGCAAAAAATCATAGAAAATGGCAGATAATGGTGTTAACAACACACACGACTTTGAGGCCCATTGAAACCACCCTCAACATGAGGATTCAATCAGTGATACCCGTAGCGAGGGAATGAGGCCACACTGGTCCATGGAAGGCGATACTCGTGACATGTTCGAGAAGCGACTCATGATAATTCTAAAGAGGAGTACATCGTTGGAACGGTAAGGGCCCTGCAAGAGCAACAAGAGGCCATTATAGGCCATCTCACACGGTAGGATAAAGTTGTGACAGAACTGAAGCATGCATTATTGGGTGCTTCCAATAACACGAATGGGTGAGGTCCAGTTCCTCCCAGTGCTCCCAAAAATCAAACAACGCAAATGGTCGACAACAACACCCCGATGGGCAAGGTCGGCTTCGATGGCGACGGGCAGCGGCTCCGGTCATAACAACGAGAGCGATCCCTTCAAAAAAAGAACTTATACGGTTTATGAGGGAAGCGAACACCTGCATGGACCAAATCCTGGGTGCACCACCGGTGCTGAAAGGGCCAGACTCAAAGAAGTGTACTCAATTACCATACAAACCAAGCGCAGCACCAGAATTGATCCCGAAGCGGTTTAAATTGCCAGACGGACTGAAATATGATGGGACTTCTAATCCTCAGGAGCATATCACCACCTATGCAATTGCGGTAAAGGGGAACAATTTAGCTCCCCATGAGATTGAATCAGTGCTGCTGAGGAAATTTGAAGAGACTCTCACGAAGGGAGCCTTGATGTGGTATTAGCTTTAGTCCGAGTATTCCAAAGATTCTTTTGAGATACTCGTGGCCTCTTTTATTAAGGCCCATGCCGGGCCTAGAAAGGTACATGTCCAAAAGGCTGATATTTTCAGACTTGCACAAGGAGAGTCCGAGTTGCTGCGAGAATTCATAACCCGGTTCCAGAGGGAAAGGATGTTGCTATATTGTTCTGGATGAATGGGAGGCTGAAGCATTCACCAAAGGATTAAATCTGAGGAGTTTCGATGCTTCCTGGAAATTGAAAAAAAAGCTTGCATGAGTTTCAAGCGACAACTTGGGCGGATGTTCACAATTGGTACGGGTCAAACATAAAGATTAAGGATGATCATCTCGATTTTTCGACATCGGTTAAGGGTCGGGAGAAGAATAAGAAGAAATTAAAAGACGATTTTGACACAAATCAACGGTCTTCAAGGAGCCCATTTTTGCCCTATGAATTGGCCGAAAGATGCGACAGAGGTTTTCGATTAGCGGATAGTCTCGTGATCGATAGATGAATTGATCGCAGCAGGAGCAACGAGTCATTACAGGACAAGGAAACTTTAGGTTCTCGAGATTCTTTCTACCCTAGAATTTCAGAATATAACTTCAACACTAGTGTAGTAGAGTTGGTATTGGCTGTGGGGAGCATTAAAGAAGCACGGTTCCCGATGCTAATAAGATCCGATCTCGGCCAGAGGGATCCTAGTTTATGGTGTTAATACCACGGGACGAATGGTCACCAAATTGGGGACTGCCAATATTTGCGAGAAGAGGTTGCGACACTGCTAAAAAAAGGCCATCTCAGGGAATTCTTAAGTGAACGAGCTAAAATAATTACGGTCACAATCATGACAATGCAGAGCCCTCAAAAGCAGAAGAAGATCCCCCGCGTCTGACGATCAACATAATTTTCAGGGGGGAACGAGATTAACGGGGTTAACTTCTCAGCGGTGAGAAGACAAAGGTATCAGTAACCCACATCAAGAGACTCTGGGAAGTCTTTGAAAATGACATCACCTTCACAGAAGAAGATGCAGATGAATTGTTGTTACCACACAATGAAGCATTGGTAATTTCCTTAAGTGTATAAGATTTTAAAATCAAACATATTTTGGTGGATCCTAGGAGTTTGGCCAATATTATACAATGGACTGTATTGGAGCAAGCCAAACTTATCGAAAGCATCATTCCGGCCACAAAACTCCTCGCCGGATTCAACCTAGCAAGCATGACAACCCGGGGAGAGATCCTGTACCCACGAACGCTGAAGGGGTGATGAAGACGACCCTTTTTGAGGTAGTGGATGGTGATATTGGCTACAAAATTATACTGGGAAGGCCATGGTTGCACGAGATGAAAGTTGTGCCATCGATATATCACCAGTTGCTAAAATTCCCAATACTCGAGGGAATTAAACGAATAAAAGGTGACCAACTGGCGGCAAGGGAGATGAATGCAATATCAGTCTTAGTAGGAAAGGAAAATAGCATGTGACATAGCAATTATAGGAACCAACGCCTGCTCTTGATCCAAGTGAGGTCAACCGGAGGGAAGAGGCACCGAAATCTTATTAGGTGCCAAGGTATTTCCAGGTACCAGAAGAGACGGACGCAACAAAGTCCATAGCAAAGAGCTTGAGCAAGTCACATTATTTGAAGAGTTCCTGGAAAGGAAATTCCACTTAAGGATAGGACTGCACCCCGAACTAAGGTCTGGATTTATTGAATTTCATAAATTTAACATCGATTGTTTTGCGTGGTCACACACAGATATGACAGGTTTCTCCAGGAAGTGTCCGTACACAAGCTGATCTTGGATCCCAACATCCTGCCGATAAGACACAAAAAATGGCCTATTGCCGAGGCCAGAAACAAATTCGTCAAAGAAGAGGTAACTCGCCTACCTACTATCAGTTCAATCCGAGAAGTAAAGTATCTGGACTGGCTATCTAACATAATAGTAGTTCCAAAGAAGAATAATAAATTTTGCATGTGTGTACACCATAAAGACTTGAATAAGGCATGCCTAAAGGACTCGTTCCTATTGCCGAACATTTATAAAATGATCGATGCGATGACCAGGCATAAGTTAATATGTTTTCTTGATTTATACTACAGGTAAAACCAAATTAAGATGAACCCGGAGGACTAGGAAAAAACTTCATTCATAATGAACTTCATCACCTATTGCTATAATGTGATGCCATTTGGGCTAAAGAATGTCGGAGTCACTTATCAGCGGCTCGTAAACAAAATATTTGAAAAAAAGATAGGGAAAACCATGGAAGTGTATATACATGATATGCTCGTAAGTCTTTGAATGCAGGTGATCATCTTAAACACTTGCAAGACACTTTTGACATCCTAAGGAAGCATAACATGAAGCTTAACCCCGAGAAGTGTGCGATTGGGTCTGCTCCGGTAAGTTCCTAGGATTACTGGTATCTCAGAGGGGAATTGAGGTTACCCCAATAAAATCAAAGCCATAGAAAACATTTTGGGCTAGCTGTCAAGCGTAAAAGAGGTTCAAAGGCTCATAGGAAGATTGGCCGCTTTAAGTAGGTTCATTTCCCGATCTTCAAAGAAATGTCATCATTTCTTTTAGTTACTCAAGAAGAAGAACAACTTCAAATGGACCCCAAAATGTCAATAGGCTTTGAGGGATTTGAAAAGATACTTGTCAAGTCCTCAGTTGTTATCGAACCCGGAGGAAGGAGAAAAGTTGTTAATCTATCTAGCGGTCTCATAGGTAGCGGTAAGAGTTATTTTAGTCCGTGAGGATGAAGATACGCAATCTCCCATTTATTACGTTAGTATAATTTTAATGGGAGCAGAAAATCGCTACACTTATTTGGAAAAGTTAGCTTTAGCCCTCGTAGTCGTTGCTCAGAAGCTAAGGCCTTATTTCTAGTATCATCCAATAATTGTGGTGACTACCTTTCCTCTGTAGAATATCCTTCATAAACCTGAACTTTTGGGTAAGGTTTCCAAATTGGCCATCGAAATGAGTGAATTTAATATAGAATAAAAACCTAGGACTGCGATTAAGTCACAAGTTTTGGCCGAATTTGTGATCGATTTCAGTCCGAGATTACTACCTTTAGCTACTAAAGAAATAGTGATGATGGCAGAATTGACATCAAGAGTTTGGACCCTATTTACAGACGGATCCTCCAACGTAAAAGGGTTCGGGCTCGGCACAGTGTTAACTATGCCTTCAGGAGAAATCCTAAGGCAGTCCATAAGAATGGTTTCACTGACTAACAATGAAGTGGAGTATAAAGCTTTGATTGCAGGGCTTGAGTTAGCCCCGAGACTAGATTTCGAGTTCATAGAAATCAAATACGACTCCCACCTGGTGGTAAATTAGGTCTACGATATTTTTGAAGCCAAAGAGGAGTGTATGCAACAATACGTAATGAAGGTCCAGGTTCTTCTCGCTCGGTTCTGGAAGTGGTCAGTTATGCATATCCCGAGGGAAGAAAATGCAGAAGTAGACGTGTTAGCTTACCTTGGCTCATCCATGGAAATGAAGGGATCTGAATCCGGTATGATCGTACAACTTATGCACTCGGCTCTGGACGCAGATATACAAGGTAAACGTGACTAAATTTGGTCTAGGACTGGAGGAATGACATCGTTGATTATTTCGAGCACGGAAAGTTGCTTGATAACCCTAAGGCATCTCAGGCGCGACACGCTAAAGCAGCGATATAGCTTCAAAGGAGGCCAAGTGTACAGGAAATCTTTCCAGGGCCTGCAGGCCCGACGTTTGGGAGCCTCCGAAGCGAACTATGTTATGTGAGAAGTCCACTAAGGGATCTGTGAAAATCATTTAGGCGTAGATACCTTGGTACTAAAGTTGGTAAGGGTTGGATACTACTGACCCCGAATGGAACAAAACACCAAAGCTTTTGTTTAAAAATGCGATAAGTGTCAACATTATGCACCATTGGTACATCAACCAGCAGAACCATTGCACTAGGTTTTGTCTCCATAGCCGTTCATGAAGTGGGGAATGGATATCGTCAGACCACTGCCTCCGACTCCTGGTAAGGTAAGGTTCCTTTTGATTTTAATTGACTATTTTTCTAAGTGGGTTGAAGCAAGTCCTTATCAGAAGATTGGCGAACACGAAGTGGTAGATTTCTTGAGGGAAAACATTATCTGCATATTTGGGATGCCAAAAGGGATTGCCTGTGACAATGGACCACAGTTTATAGGTGCAAAGGTGATGAAGTTCCTTGAAGACCTGAAAATCAAAGGGATCACATCTTCACCCTATCATCCGAGCGCAAATGTTCAAGCAGAATCAACAAATAAGTGATTATTTAGAATCTCAAAAAAAGGTTGGAAGCATCTAAAGGCATTATGGGCGTACTGAACAATGGCCAAATCGAGCGTAGGAGAGACTCCTTTCTTCCTTGTGTACGGAGCAGAAACCCTGATCCCGGTGGAAGTAGGGGAACCTATCCTGAGATACATTCAGGTGAATGAAGAAGCAAACAATGAAGCAGTGTTGGTCAATTTGGAACTGCTTGATGAATGCAGGGACTTGGCGCATATAAGGATGGCAGCTCAAAAGCAAAGAATAGAAAGATATAACAACCAAATAGCCAACCTCCGTTATTTCAAAGTGGGAGACTTGGTTTTAAGGAAAGTAACTCAAAACACCCGGGAACTTAATGTAGGAAAGCTAGGTCCAACTTGGGAAGGCCCCTATCGAATTTCAGCTGTCACTGGGAAAGGATCGTGTGAGTTGGAAAATCGAGATGGAGAAAAGTTTCCAAGCAACTGGAATGTGGCACACCTCAAAAGTTATTATTAATGATGAAAATCACCTATACTAAAAGTATGTTCAGCACTTTTTTCCCTTCTCCAGTTTTTGTCCCAATTTGGTTTTTCTGATAAGGTTTTTAACGAGGCAACAATGGAAAGTATACTACGAAGGAAGTTTCAACAACAGAAATAAGACCTTCTAATAACAAGGCACACAAGCGAAAAACCACGTGGATGGTTAGATAATATTTTTCTCGGTAGCAAAGTTCCTACTGGGAAGTTAAGTTGCTTATCGAACAAAGGTCACCCGACCATTCATAAGTGCAAGCTACTAGTTGATTGTTAGATAGTCTTTGGCTCGATAGCATAAATTCCTAAGGGGAAGTGAAGTTTGTTACCAAATAGAAGATTATCTAGCAATTCATTAGTGGGATCCTCGAAGGTTCAAAACTTCTAGTGTTTAAATTTTCATTCTTTACATTCAAACACTGGGGGGAATTATATAAGGATACGGAAACAATGACTGCCACGTCGACCGGAATACAAAAACCAAAAACATAGTTGTATCATCGGGACCGGGGACTATGCGGCCAGCCCCATAGAAACAAGTTGTACAAGTTAGCCACAAGAAATGGCAATTTCTTTTTAGCATAACAAATGCTTATGTACTTTTTGAAAATGGAAGGAATAAAGTAAAAGTCATTTTATTTCTATCTTGTTTCTTGTCTGAATGATGAATTAATTTTATCATTTTAAAGTTAAACAAGTACTTGAAATGCTAGTGTCTTAATGAACATGAGGCGTCCTCTTCAAGAGCATCGTAAACATAAGAGGGGCCCCTCTTATGAAAACCCTCACGATAAAGGGTTGATTTCGGAAGAACTTGTGCCCAAAATCCAAATGCTTTTGGGAAAAACTAAACCCAAAGCCTTGCATAATTAGATGCAAATAGTAAAACTTGCACAAAACACTTAAGCAAGAAAGAATGCAAAGATTAAACTTGCATAAATGTTCAAACAAAAGAACACAGAAAGACTCATGCAATACTTGAGAAAAAGGTGCTTTTATTTAGAATAAATGTGTGAAAACGGCACTAGTACAAAAGTTGGGGAAAAAAAGAAAAGCTAAGCTGCTGCATCTCCGCACCCTGAGAAAGAGAAACATCTGCAACCCTAGGGGAAGTGGGTAGATCCGTCGCCGGCTCGATATCTTGACCCTTATCATTTTGGCTTTAAACATCTTCGCCTTTCGGTTCCTCTTCAGTTCTCGAGGATTAGGAATCAGAACCAAAAGAACCAGAAGCATCAGACCTGGCTGGAAGACCCCTTTTAGCAGCTGACTCCATCTTACGAGCTTTAGCGACTTCGGCACCAAAGTTGGTGACACCCGCTTTAGCCTATAACAAGGTTTTTCTCCTCATGTTATACATAACATATGTTATTTCAATAATGACAGAAGCTGCTCGGTGCTTGAGTTCTTCTTTAAGTTGGTCAACCTAGGCAGAAAGATTTTTCCATGCTAACCTAAAGGACCGAAGGCTAACATAGAGATCACAGATAATAGAGCTGAAAAGTCTATTATGCTCAAGCGCAGTGCTGGGTGTTGGTTACTCATCAACCAAAGATAGCAGGGACTCAGTACTCAGCCTCATAGTACCAGCCGTAACGACTGGGATCTGAAAATAGAATTTGGCATTTTACACAATCTCAAACTCCC